CATCCCTGAAGACACTCAAGGTCAGGTTGGTGGGGCACTGAGCAACCTGACTGACTTGTAGGTGTCCCTGTTCATTGCAGGCGGTTGGACTAGATAGAAGATCTTTAAAGATTCCTCCCAACTCAAATAATTATATGATTCTACAATTTTACTGTTCTATGCTTCTATACTTTTATGACTCTAGTAGCTGGTTAGGAGCCTGGGCCGTGTGTGCCCTTCTGACAGCTTGTATGGGACAAGGTTCTTGTCTTCCTAAATCATCAGATGGTTGCCAGATGAAAGAAGTATGGATCACGTACCAAATGATATAATCTACAGCTACAAACACTGCTCAAATAATCACAGCTAAATCCATAACTGTAGTTTGACTGAAGCAGAGTTCTTCTGTGTGGAACTGGCTAATCTCTAAAGGGATTGTGCACAATAGGAGTAACTTGAAGAGGCACATGTTTTGTAATGAGAAATACTATAAAAAAGAGATTGTCTTAAGAAGCAAAATGGCAGGCAACAGCCTAAACTTCAGAGAGGGAAAGGTGTGCACCTGTTGTCCACCATCACCTAATAAAAGTATCACAGGCAATCTTTTGAGCCAGTACTTTTTATCAGACTGCAACAATTTGCAATCCAACGTATTTAACTAAGATTGCTAGGAGAAATAGAAGCAAAAGACGTTTCTATACAAACTGCACCTTCCAGATTGCAGTGTGATGCGGAACTGTATCTGCCATCCAAGTCTGCTAATTGCCAAGAGCCATCCAAGAACACAAGTCGCTGTTCAGTCAGTGCCAGACTCCACTGGCAGTCAGATTGCTCAGACAGTGCAACAGAGTGGATGGGTTTGTTCCTGCATGACCATCGGGCAAGATGAGGTGCAGCCATGGGCCTTGGTAGAAGATACAGCCCCATCAATTCACACAAAAACAACGTGTGCTTTGGTTTCTCCTTAATCACAGCTTGTATGCCATTCCTCCTTGATACTGGCTGTTAATTTTATTATAGAACAGTGGGTTGCAGCTATGTTGGAAAGGGAAATAATCTTCTGGAATTTAATAACATAAATGGGAAATAAAAAAGACACCTCCAAACACTGCATTTTAAATAATGCTGTATTTCTTAGGAAAAAAAAAAATCTCCAGATAAGAATGTTGTGTTTTTCTTAGGCTTCTAAGTCTTGAAGTTGACTGATGCATGCTTGGGTTGCACGTCTTGAAACTGTTGAGTATAAGATAAGTTAATGGATTTCCAGGAGCTCTGTGTGAATATTTATTTAGCTTTTGCATCCCACCATTTGAAGTGTAAGATCTATTTGCATTGTGCAAATCAAAGTCACTTGCAGCTTTAGTGGAAAATCTCCACTGCTTAAAAAAATCTGTTATGATAATTTAACTCATCAGCATGATAATGCTTTAGGAAATTAGGTCAGTTCAGATACAATAGGATAAAGTTCAGTACGGATTCCAGTTTTTGTTGCTAATTGCAAATGCAGATGTTTTCTTCTTAAAATTCCTTTCCAGGGTAGTGATGGTAGTTTTCAACATCTTCTATTTGAGTGTGATTTAAAGAGTGGCAGTGTTTTGCTCAATGGCAATTTTTTTTAGTCTTGTGGTTTTTCTTGATACATAAGTCATAAATTTCTTACAAAGAAATATAAGAATGGGAAAGTAGGTGCACTAGGCAGCATATAAAGGAGTATTTGATGAGCTCAGAAGAGGCATGCTGTTAGCAATAATCGGCAGCTGACAAAGCCCAGAAGCAGCTTGTCTCTGAAACAAAGATTGCAATTGTTAGGCGACATTTGTTTAGGGGGCTAAGCCACTTCTCCAACGTATTTCCATTAATTCATGTAATGCCAAGAAGAAAAATACTCCAGATACCTCTGAATAACTACTACAGCTCTAGAGAGCAGCCCTGACTTTGAAATTATTTAAAAAATAACAACCAAAACAAGCAGCAGGGGAGAAAATGCAGAGTGTGGCAAGAGAGTAATATGCTGACCTGTATTTTAACACTGGAGGTAGTACCCAGTGGACTGGGACTGAAGAAGGAGAATAAGTTATCACTGACGTTCTCTGGAATGATATCCAATAAATCATGATGTGGAGAAGGATGTAGGTTGCACTTGAGCCTTCTACCCAGTTCCAGCAGTGACCTCAGATAATTTGCTGGAGCACACTGCATCTCAATTCCCTGCTGCAGATCCTTGCTTCGTAGTGATGGCTGACTTTAATTTACTGACTATACATGTAGTGCCTGCAGGGTTGGTGGGGCTGCAGACTACTGTGATCACCTGAATCTGTAATTGTGTGAAAAAAAAGAAGGAAGTGGACTTCATTCCGCAAGTTGCACTTTCCACTTTTGCAAATAACAAAAGTGGATGCAAAAGTAGCAGGAATATACATTAAACTAGCCAAGAATGAAGTGGATGGAAAAAAAATCACCACAAGGACATTTTAATTGGTGACCAGAAGAATGTTTTCCTAATGTGTACTTCCTTCAGGAGGACATCCACTATTTTATTTCAGACCAGAAATTTCAAATTTCAGAGGACACAGAACAGCTCCAAAAATTTTACAGCTGCTTTTTTTTTTTTTTTTTTTTTTTTTTCCTGCCCTTGAATTTCACATTTGTAGTACAATCAAAATACATCTTTACACACATATATAATATACAGCCTACATATATATAGATATAACACAGCAAGATGTCTCAGTTCGCGATCATGAAATGACCTGGGATTTTTAGATATTAAAGTGATTGTACAAGAAGGTGAAGAGATGAAATACTCCATAAACAACATAAGCATACAGCCATAGATGGAAGACAGGGCTAAAACAGGAAGGTCACTCTAAGAAACAGCTGGACTTTGCCACTCTCACATTTCATCTTATGGAGGTGAGAAGAGAGAGTCAGAAACTGGTAGCAAAGAAAAAGTAGGAAAACTAAGATGAGGAAAAACGGAGTAAGTATTGCAGTCTTAAAATAGATTTTGGATAGACAAGAGATGTGCAAGAGGAGTGGGTGTAGGAACAGAAAAGAAAGAAGAGCTAATTACTACGTATCTTCAAACATCCAACCAGATCCAACCTCTTCTCAGTTTTCTGGCACCTCAAATAACACTTGATAATCTGGCTTCTGTCGTTTAACACTGCATTCTCCTGAAATGTTTTTATAGGTCTCCAACATTCTTTAACAAAAAGAAGAAAAAAAAAAAAAAGGAAATAGGTCAGGTATATTTGCTATTCCAAGGTTGGGTATTGGTGCAGTTCTGCACTCAGAGATTTGAATTAACATCATTGCTGGGACGTTAGACATGCTCTAAAGCTCTGCATTTAGTAGCATCAACTGATGCTTTGGCAAATTCTCACGGACTCATGAAGTAGCTGATAGATGTGATTGTAACACCTCAGGCGGTCACTTTATACGCAACGATAAACCCGCTGTTGTGCTTAATGAGGTCAGTGAGGCATCCAGAGAAGACATACATAGTACTGCAGCGTGGGTCTGCACTGCCTGGGCTTTTTAGGCTTAATGAAGCAGATCCTCAGCGGCTGGGTATTCTTGTTGAACAGTCTCAGTGCGGATTTTAAAACTAGTGTTGCTGATAAAGATGTTCCTCCATTCTCCTTGGAGCACTATGGCTCCTCCTCTCCTACAAAATCTGCATCTTTTATGTGTTAATAGTTTTGACATCAACCATTTGCCTCATTTTCATTTTAAATGAGGGGCAGAGTCTTACTGCCTTTCTTGCCTGTTCTCCGAATGCTACATCCACTGTAAGCTGGCTCATCAGCCTGCAGCTTTCCCTCTAGGTTGTATACAGTCTGAAAATACCAACAGGAATCCCACGCAACGTGCACGTTGACGGACGCTTTCCTATTTTAGACGCCTTTCTAAGAATCCAAGTCCCCACGGGAAAAGTTGCATCTTGCGAGCTGTCTAGCGTCCCTGTCACATCCTCACGCATCACACAGACTGCCCGTCACAGTCTCCCGCTCAGGAGACTGCAGGAAGCAGTGCCATTTGCTCACATTACAGGATTTCTTTTACAGGAAACACCATCGTTTAAAAAGTGAATGAGCTTTTAGTTTTTGAAGGTTTTGCTTCCCACTGCGGTGCGGTACAAATAGGAGCGGTGCCTGAGCCTGAACGTTTTCCTGAAGGATCAGAGGCAGCGCAGACAGGAACGTGCCCAGTTGCAGCGTGACTGTCACAGCGGTAATCCACGACAGCCTGGCTCAGTGGCACGCGTCCCGAAGCCGTGCTCGGAGCCTTCTCCCCACGCAGGCAGTCAATCCGCCCGCACGTGCAGGCACGCAGCCTCCTCGCTGTACATCTGCGAGCAGCGACACACGAAGGCACCGAGAGTTTCACTTCCCAGCCTCTGTGCTGACCGAGCAGTCGCCACTGCTTCCCAGCTGCCACCCGGACATCGCAAAAAATACATTCTAAGCGATGGGGAAAGGAGCAGAGAGGAGAAGGACCGAGGCAGGCCGTGATTTCCACCGCACCGCGTGGCACGGCTCACCCCCGCACGCTGTTTCGGCGGCTCCGCGTGACGGCGCCGGTTGCGGGCAGCGGTGCCGCGCTCCGGGCGGCCGGGCGGGGTCCTGGCGGGGTTGAGCGGCCGCTTCTCCTCCTCGCACAGCTTCCCCTCCCCGCACGGCTCCCCGCGCGAGGCCGGGACAGCCCCCAGGTGCAGGGCACGCACGGCAGAGGTTGTGCGCTCCTTGCAGCGCTCGGGTGGGGAGAAGAGGGAGAAAGGCTCAGCCCCCTGAGCACAAAGGTAAAGTGCAAAGTCGAGATCACCTCGCTGCGGGCTGCGGTTCGGCGGGGCCGGGGGTCGGCGCTGCGGGGAGCGGCGGGCGGGGACGTGGTGTGACCGCCGCCCCCCCGCTCCCTCCGCAGATGTGCGCCCGGCGCGGCGGCCGCCCTCCGCTATGACGAACGGCCGCGGCAGCCCGCCGCCCGCCGCTCCGCCGCTCCCCGCCGCGCCGCGCCGCAAGAGCCCGCCCCGCGGCGGCCCGGCTGGCCCGGGCGGCGGGCGGCCGCGGTATGTCATGCAGGTGGCGGCCAAGGACGGGCAGCTGCTCTCCTCCGTGGTGCGGACCCTCGCCACGCAGAGGTAGGGAACGCGGGGAGCGAGCGGCGGGGTGCGGGCGGGGAGCGGGGTCGCGGCTGCGCGGCGCGGAGCTGGAAAGATGCGTCGGACGGGGGTAGCCTTGACGGGACGCGACCCGTCTCGCCGCTGTGGGGTTGCTCACTGCCGCCGCATGGGTGACCCGGAGGCCCGAAAGGGCTGTTCCGCCTTTATTTGCAATAACTTTTTCAAACCCGGTGGCTCTGCACGTCCCCGTGGGAAGCGGGCGGGCGCAGAGCTGCGCGCTCCGCCCCGCTTCGGTGCACCCCGCTGTCCTCTTCGCCCCGCTGCCGCGAGGAGCCGCACCAGGCACCGCCAGCAGCTGCGGCGGGGGGAGCCCGAGCGTGGGGAAGCCGCCGTGCCCCCTGAAGAGAGATTCTTCCGTAAGAAAGTTGGTTAAGTTCGGAGTCTCCAAGCTTTCTCTAGAAGGAGGAGCGCCCTTTGCACATAGAATCACAGAATCACAGAATCTCAGAATGGCTTTAGCTGAAAGAGACCCGTAAGCCCATCCAATCGGCAGGGCCGCCACCCACCAGACGAAGCTGCCCAAGATCCCATTCAGCCTGGCCGAGTGCCTCCAGGGATGGGGCACCCACAGCTTCTCTGGGATGCTGAGAGAGAATGCAGAAGAATTGGCCGCGGGAGGAAAGTGCTGGACACGGCATTCCCTTCCCAGGCTGCTCTTATCTACTCTTGGGCAGCAGGTGGGGGATTGTCCCTCACAGCAGATGAAGCTGTTCCCACATGACCCTCTCATCTACCAGCGCTGTATGTTTGTTTTCTGCCCTTTTTAACACCCACAGAACAGACACTGTAAGTAAGCATATGCACATGCCTGTGGCTGTAGCCTGGCAGCCCGCTGCATCGACCACAGAGCAAAGCATGCACCCCGCAAACATTTCCTGCGTCGTGAACTGGTGGTGTCCCCGGAGGCAGGGCTGTTGCTGACTGGCAGTGTGTCTCTCCTCCCACAGCAGTCCCTTCAATGACCGCCCGATGTGCAGGATCTGCCACGAGGGCAGCAGTCAGGAAGACCTGCTTTCTCCTTGCGAGTGTATGGGGACGCTGGGGACCATCCACCGCAGCTGCCTGGAGCACTGGCTGTCCTCGTCCAACACTAGCTTCTGCGAGCTCTGCCACTTCAGATTTGCAGTGGAGCGCAAACCCAGGCCGCTGGTAGAGGTGAGTATGAGGGGCACATCCTCCCGAGCTCAGCCCCAATGAGCACATCGTGTCTGCTTTATGTGGCATCACAGAGATGATCTGCTGAAGCAAGAGCAAGCTGGAAGCCTGAGGCTCTGCAGCGTGAGGGCGGGAGCTTAAGGAAAGGGCAGGAGCAGCAGAGCCTGACTGATGGTTTTGCTTTGCTATAAACATAAGCGAAGGTTTGGGGTGCGGTGTGTGGGGAGTACAGAATACAGCAGCCAGGGTGGTGATGGTGAGAGGTGTGCCATAGATATGTGGTAGTTTCTGCTAGATGTATTCAGAATATTTGATATATCAAGAACTATTTTCTCATTGCTTCTGAGAAAGACAATACAAATCAAGGAGCCTAGGAACCTGGCTTCTGTATTGAGCCCACAAGAAGTAATTGTTTTTGTGCAGTGTCTGGCATTTTCAGCCATTCTGGAATGACCTTTTGGCCTCCTCTTGTCTGGGTACCAGACCAGACCATGAATTGGTAATTGTTCTTCCCATATCAATTAAAAATCAGTTTTGATGAACAATAGATGTTTTAGTGGCTGCATGAAGCTTGCCAGATTTTTTTGCATCTCCAGGAAAAGAGAGGAAAAAAAGCCCAAATCATTATCTCTACCATGATAATGATTTTTTTCTTTCTGTTTTCTTTTGGAGGAAAAAAATATATATATAATTTACACTGAAATTAAAAGTAAATTACAAATAATAACTATTTTCAGAAACCATGTGAAGTATCAGTGGTGACCCAAGTACTTGCATGCTAAAGTTTGTGCTGAGGGCAAAGTGTCCTTCTTGCTTACCTTATTACCACAAACTGTAGCAGAATAGGTAGTAGTTACACTGTTGAAAATGAGGGAGAGGATGTTCTGTTTTGCCCTTGTTCACAAGTAGGAGGATACAGGACAACACTGACAGGTGGGATTTGAGTCAGGGCATGGGCAGTGGTGAGTGAGCAGTTCTCACTGAAGACCACCAAAGCTGCTCCAGGCTGGGTGAAGTTAGGTGTTTGCACTTGTGTCCGAATCCGAGAAGATCTTCATTCTTCCTTTGGATCCACAAAAACAGAGATGTGGGAGCTCTTCTTACAGCCAGATGCCCTGAGCTGGGCCTGAACTCTTTTCTTGCTTGTTGGTGTGGTTTTGGTGCAAGTATGTTGCTATCCTGAACTGTTCTTCTGAAAAGAAAGTTGCGCAGTCCTGAGAGGGTGCTAAGCAGTTTGATTTTAGAGTCTGTCTTCATCTAGCTGTTCCCTTACAGTGGCTGCTCCTGAGCTTTGCTTTGTACAAATAGAGCATGACTTATCTCAGAGAAGCAAAGAAGCAAGCCTCTTTGTGCTAAAAATCAATTGTATTATTACGATATGATATATGATATGATGTATATCATGCATATGGTAACCACTTAAAAACTGCCCTTTTTTTTCCTCAGCTGGGGACAGGTGGGAACTAGGTGCAGGGACATTTCTGAAATATGGCACATGTTGCTCACTGAAGTTTTTCTCTTTACTATCCAATCTTTTCTTGCTTCTCAGCCACCACATCCACATCACAGTATTTTAATGCAGTTATTGGCAGTTGCAGAAAGGCTTGTAATAAAGCAGCAACTGATTCTCTTACATTCTTTTGCAGTCTTACAGAAGGAGTGTGTGTCTGATTTAGAAGGGAATCAAACTTATTCTTTCAAAGCTGAGAGCATCAAAGACAAAAAGTGACTGAGATGGGCTGTTTGCAAGGAGACAAACCTAAGCAGGAAGATGTCAGCCAGACTTCTTGATTTCTATTACTGTGATTTAGGTTTGCACTCAAAGTTTGCATTAATCTATTTCACACAGTGCTTTGTATTTCCCAAACCTCCCCAGGCAAATAATTACAGCCAGTCTGAACAGTTCCCAACATTTAGCTGCACATTGCTGCTAAACCAGGTTCAGGTTTCCAGATCCTCTCACTAGCTGTACCCTCCAGCACCATCTTATCTGCCTCCCTGTGTTACCTAAAGTAACAGGGAATGGAGAGATGATTATCAGATCGATCAGGACAAACTTTCACAAAAACCTGCTCTAAATCTTGGACTAATGACAAGTCAGAGTGACCTGTTCTAATTACATTATGTGTGGATAAAAGCTGTGCGTGTATGTCTGGGTAATGGGATGACAAATAAGGCAAGTACCATCAACTCTCCACACTGTTTCTCACTCACGAAGTGCTGGCATAGCTGACATTGTGAGGCACAACCAGAGTCAAAGTTCTCTTCATTTAGTAGAACAATTAGTTCTCCAGAGGTTCCTTGGAAATAGATAATGGAAGTAGTAAATGGTCCTCTCAGTGGAGATGAATGATGAGTTTACCAATGCCTTTTGGAGGTCAGGAGGGATAGATGTACTCATAAGGTCATTTATAGAGCGTAGCCAAGACAAGCATATATAATTCCTCATCAGGACCTGTCTCGTGCAGAGACTATATCCCATTCATTGGTCAGTAACAAGCAGGACAAAAATGCTTGAAGCAATCAGTCATCATATTAATCTTTTCTCTTAGAGATTTTTCTTCAGGGGAAAAAAAAAAAAAAAGAGTTGTTTTGTTTCTGCCTATTGAAAGAAATATCATTCACTTTCTTGAAAGGGACAAAAAAAGAAAAAATTCCCCTCAATAGTTTGATTGCTGCTTCTAATGGGGCGTAGCCATAAGTGTGTGAAGAAGATCTCAAAGGAAACAAATTGATTTACTTACTTGCTCTACCCAGAAATGTCATACCCAACAAGCTTTCATGCTGTTAGCACCCAGGAGATACTGCCTCAGTAGTGGACTTGAAATGAAGCGAGCAGAAAATGGCATGGCTGCCTGTTCAGCCGTCTTCCTTCCTCCCCTGTGCATGTTCTTATGGAAGCAGCAGAACATTTTGTGTTGCACTTAGTTATTTGGACAGAGCAGTTTAGTGGACCCATTTAGTTTCTCTCTCGACCATGGTGTCAGTTTGTCATTAGTATATTATTAAATGAGAGCAACTACTCCATGAAAATTTATTGCAAGTTGGCTTTTTGCCTTCTTTTTAGCAACTGCTTACGTTCATGCTAAGGATGTGCACCCATGCCCTTGAATAGACCTTTAGCTCAGGTTAAGGGGACATCTCTACAACTGTGTCCTGCCTCCTGCATTATTTGTGCACAGGATGCAAAAATGCAGGAATCGCTTTGCTTTCTCCTCCCAGCTTATGAGCAGCAGCCTTCTTTTTTTCTGGATTTTTTGTTGTAAGTTACAGCAAAAGAAATTTGATTTTGACCTTTGTTTCGTTTGTTATATCTTTTCTCCATCCTAAGTTTCTATCTGGTCAACTGAGTTCCAAGGTATGTATTTCTCATAGGAGACTTTCCTTTAGCTGTGATGCACTGCAAGCTTCTGTTTGGTTGAGAAACACTTCTCTGTGAATGTGCAGTGTGCTGAAGTAGAGTCAGGAAAGTCCATCCTGCCAAAATTGTGTTTGTGAAGTTTTGGATATTCTTGATGTATATTCTCTTAGCCCAGATTCTTTTCCTTAGAAGAATTGTGTTTCTTAACTATGTGACTGGGACAATATTTATTCAGTCTTCAATGAGTATGAGTTGTTCTCCACCTTTTCTACCTTAAGGCATCATGCCATGGTTCTGGATGGTAACATATGAAGGCTGAGGTCCTGTGTTTTTCTCTGATGCTGGGACATACAGAGTAATACAGGAGGAAAACAAGTTTGATGTTGGTTTTGATTCCTATTTACCACACTCTCATTTTGCCTTTTACACTGGGAGAAGTGCTCTGTGTGTTGTTCTTCACCAAATAAAAGAAGTATGCAACAGGGGTATGCAAGTATTTCATTTCCATGGGTATTTATCAAAGCTTGTTTGGCAGAAAGCATTGTTCTTCTTTACATGCTTCTTTGACTCCATACCTTTGGTCTCCTTTGTGTCAGAAGTGCTGCCCTGTGTGATTTTACAGTCACTGGTGAGAACCACTTGCTGCTAGGCACTTCTCAGGGTTAGTTATACAAGTGGTTAGTGTGCAGCAGGTAGGTGTGCAGTGATAGGGATCGACAGCCTACCAGGAGCTGTCACACTCCCTCCTGCTTCTGTAGGAATTTTGGCTCAGTGGATGGGCTGGTGCTTCTCTGCCTTAGACTTTCATCTCACAGCTACTCATGAACTTGTTCACAGCAGCTGCACTGTAGATAACTTGGTATATAGTTACAATAAAATAAGAGATGGGATGTGATAGAAAAAGTGCTTTTTCAGTACATTTGGGACATCAGGAACTGGCTATCAGATATGGTAAACCTGGAGGACTACTGTCCACTCCTGCTCTTTCAAACGGGTCACAAGAGGCTGCAAGTAGAAAATTACAAAACACTGAAAAGAACTTTATATCCGTTGGGCATGGCCCTCCTCTGGATTCACTCCAGCAGCTCCACATGTTTCTTGTTCTGGGGACCCCGGGCCTGGATGCAGTACTGCAGATGGGGCCTCACAAGGGCAGAGTAAATGGGGACAATCCCCCCCCTCTACCTGCTGCCACCACTCTTTTGATGCAGCCCAGGATACTGTTGGCCTTCTGGGCTGCAAACGCACACTGCTGGCTCATGTCTAGCTTTTCATCCACCAGGACCTCCAAGTCTTTCCCAACAGGTCTGGTCTCAAATAATTCTTCTCTCAGTCTGTATGCATATCTGGTGTTGCCCCAGCCCAAACACCACTCCTTGCACCGTGCCTTCTTGAATCTCATTAGGTTCACTTGGGCCCACTTTTGAAGCTTGTCTAGCTCTCTTTGGATGGCATCCCTTCCTTCTGTTGTATCAACTGCACCACTGAGCTTGGAATCATCTGCAAAACTGTTGAGAGTACACTTGATCTCACTTTCTGTGTCATTGGTAAAGACATGTAAGAGCACCAGTCCTAAGATGGACGTCTGGGAGACACTGTTTGTCACTGACCCCTTCCTGAATGTAGAGACATGGACCAC